TTCTTACTTCAAGTTGCCCAGTTTACAGAGAAACTATAGATATAATTATTAAAAGGAACTTGGCAATAATAATTTTATAAAACAAACTGGCTACCAAACAATTATTCCAAAATTCACATTAACACATGTGACGCAGCATTGCTGCGTTCGTTTAACGATCTTAAATTATTTATGTGTCGAATAATATTAAGTACATTGTATCGACGTTGCTGCGTCGTACATTGTTGTCAGCTTCACTTGATGCAGGTTTACCGTAAGTTTAAAAGAAATATTCACTTTTTCAATATATACCAAATTTAAAAGCGCACCCTTGCGGCAAACTGCCAAACTTCAATATACACGTATTTTACAAAAAACCATCAATGCTGCGTCACCCTTAAAATCGGTGTGTAGGATTGTCGTGACGTCACCAGTAAAATAAACCTTAAATGTAATGCTGCGTCAATATACGACGCAGCATTACACCTGACGCAGCATTGAATGCAAATTTCATAATGTATTGACGCAGCATTGTAGGCGGGATGTATATATATATATATATATATATATATATATATATATATATTTATATATACAGTGCTTGCAAATCCAAGTCCGACCGGTTTGAGAAGGACGCGTGAAAATAACAACGATAGAACGCCAAACAGAAGGCGCTTACAATACGCACGCCTGACGCTCTGACCAATCAAATTCTGTTTGGCATTCTATCCTTATTCTTTTCACGCGGGTATTGAACAACCATCCTTTCCAACGCGGTCGGAATTGGATTTGCAAGCACTGTATATATGCTTAACTTAATATATAATAACTTACCCATGATACAGATTTTCTTATTCCATAATAGAAAAACTGGATTTTTTTAAAATAAATGGATAGCGTTTATTAAAAAGGAACCAAGCTACAAAAACTTTTTCTGGGGTAAACAAAATTAGTTGCAAAATAACTCATTTTTAATGCTGCTCAAAAAATTAATAATGATTTGGGAACCCTCTCAATCATTTTGAGAAAAGTTCCAAATGATGATTAACCTTTTGGGCATTATTAAAATAAGTTATTTAGCACAGAAAAAGTTTTTGGCGGTTGGTTCCTTTTCAATAAGCCTTATAAAAATGTCGTTTAGTTAAACCTTTTTTATGGAGAAAAGCAGATATGTAAAGCAAATGCACAAAAATAATACTTATTTGGCACCATCCACTTTAAAATTTTATTAAATGCAGTATTTATGTTCCTAAATTCTTAAACCAATCATTGTTATTTTGATACTATACAGATTTATTAATTTTTATCACTTAAACATAAGCGGTAAACGTATAAATGATTTCGTTGACTATACTTTGACAGATACATAACCTAAAATACCTTAAATGCAAAATTTTGAAAAGACTGCGTTCCGTACGTAGTCACGTGGTAGGACTTTGATGTGTGGAGCATAGTACCTACTTCAAATAAATAAATAGCTAAATCAATAGGTTATGGCTGTGTTCCGTAATTTACTGTCAGTAGTGAAAACGCATTCCGAAATCCACTTTCAGATACTGAGCTGAGTAGTAAATACTACCCTTTTATAAAAGTACGGCAGATTAATTTTACTGAAACAACTGGTGATAGAGAGGTGCTGTGGCTCCAGTAAAACACTTAACCAAACTTTTAAACATAAAAAATAGCTGTCATATAAAGTGATGGATATAATGGTATTTGTTGAAGAGCTAGGACTAATTATTTTAATAATTATTGATGAAATATTACTTTAAATTACAAGCAGCAGTGACGATGGAGACAAGTTAACTGAATACAAATATATAGTAGGCATACGAAGACCCAAAATATTAAACTACCTAGAAAATGTTCTATATTTGTATTCAGCGGACGAATTTCAGTCATTTTCGGTATTTGTCGTATTGTTGTGGGTTAATTGAAATTTTATTTCCTATTATGTTCGTCCGCGTCGAAAAATGTATATAACATTTTATTTTCCATATTTCTCTACTGGTGCCGAAAGTAAAGTTTGACAAATTTCAGTAAATCACAAATCATAACCTTGCGTAGCCATTGTCACTTTCTTTTGCTACTGACGGGCGTTCCAAATTTACTGTTTCGTCAGCCTAGAACAAACCAATAGATACGTAACTACCTGAAAACGTTTTGATGCAATAAAGCGCCATCTATTAAAATTGAAGTAATAAAAATGCAAGGTTGCCGAAATCGCCCGCCAACATTTAAAAATATATATTATTTTTTAATTCGCAAGGTGCGGTGCAAGTATTAGATAACTCAATTTCCACTGAAATGTTTTACATTTTAAAATAGACTTTTGAAATTTAATTTACGCTGCTAATATTCTTAATTATTTAGAATATTTTAACAACACATATTTAGTCAAAAGTCAATTTGAACATTTTTAAAACACAAATTTAGGAGAAATGGAGTTAATTGGTTCTTGCACTGGACAATTTTACATTGATTTTTTTTCATCCAAAGTTTAAAATGGCTCTTGAAATACATTTATAAATATATTCATTATTAGGTCATAAGTGAAAAAATTAAAATATTTTTACATTTATTTTTTAATATAAATATTATATATAAATATATGTGTGAATGATCCTCCTCTACAATGATCACTACTTATTTGCCATAAGTGGATAAATTTACCAGCTTTGGGAGTAATCTTGGAATGTTGAAGAAGTTTCCATTAAAACATTCATATTTGCTGTTGATGTTGGTGGAATTTATAGTAAATCACTTGAGAAAATTTTATCGTATATAATACCACTAGTGGTAAAATTTTACCGATAAAATTTTTGATTTTTATACGAATGTTTTTTTCTTGGAAATTTCGCAAGTGGCATTAATTTTTAAGACCACGAGCCGCTAGGCGAGTGGTTTGAAGTTAATGCCACGAGCGAAATTTCCAAGGAAAAATCTTGAGTAAATAAAAATCAAAAATTTTTTCAGGGAAAATTTTATCACGAGTGGTATTCGGCAAGACTATTTCACGAATATTTTTAACTGCTGATTCAATTTCTGTATGATTTTTTGGACCAAAACGCATATTTTTTAACATTTTAATTTTAAAATTAAAAACGTCAACAGTGACAATTATTTTTATCATAGCAACCAATTGGTTGTTATGCAACTCGTATAAACGAGTGGTTTTTTCACCTGAAACTACTGTTTTATCGCTGCAAAACTGAAAAAACCACTCGTTTTCTGAAATCTGATTGGTCCAAAAAGTAATGAGTGGAATAGTCATCAATATTTTGTGCTATTGATTTAGTTTCAATTTACGTATTCCTGGTCATTTCAATTTCTTTTCACACATGCCGGGATTGGGATGTGGAAGGAACCACATCTTTGTCACCTACAAAAGTGCATTATGTAGGTAAGCTCTTAAGTATTATAAAATACCTGCCAAGTTTTTAACAAAAGTAGCTATTCAAGACAATTACCCTTTTACTATAGTTTTGCACTGTATATCAAATACAGAAATCAATTCCTAAATAAGTTATGACTACTAGATATAAATTAAAGTTTAAATACTATTTTTCCCAAACTTAGTTCTGACAGACAAAAGCAGGCAATAAAAATAATAATATTAACTTATATTTAAAAATATATAGATTTCCATGCAGAAAACAACACTGCAAAATTACATACTAATTTTAATGAAACCAAACTATACCTGGTAATAATAATGTTGGGTAAGCCAGACGACCAAGTCTTTTATTATGTAAGAAGTCCTCCTGAGTAAAATGCTTTGAACACACTCTGCACTTTGTAAAAAAAATTTGAGGTGTCATCTCAAGAAGTCGTTTATTGGCACATAACTTAACCCATTTCTTGAACAAGTCGATATTCTTTGGAAGGATTTGGAAAAAAAATTTTAGATTCCTTAAATCCCCAACAACTTTCAACAGCACAATATATAGCAACCATCTGTAATAACAAAGTTTTAAAAACAATAATCATAATAAGTGAAAAAAACATACCTTTCAAGATGTAAAAAATCTTGGAATTAAACACACGTTCAAGTTAATTGAAAAACTAACTTATATTTAAGACACATGTTTGACAGACTTAACAAAAACAGAGCATATATGATTTATCTATTTTGGTTTCATAATGACTTCATTATAACACCGCTTTTGGTTCTTTAATGAGGTACTTTATTCCACCCAAAATTTTGATTTTATAGGTTGGCTACTGGTAAAATACAATTTTGAATACCTATAGGTTATAATATTTTTATGATTTGTTTTCTAGTACTTACGAGACTTTTCGTGCAATAAATTTTGTTTAACACCAAAGAAAATCCTTTTTTCTTCTTTAACAGCCGCTTATTGTAAATACTTATTGTAAATTAACGACGCCATAGCGAAAGAATGTGATAATGTTTGAAAGGTTAATGACCTTTCAAACTTCAACTGAGATACCAACTTTGTGAAGTAAAATTTGACCAAATTAAATATAAGGTATAAAATTAATTTGTTTTATGAAATGTTTGCAAAATAGATAAAATAGCATAAAGAACTCATGTCATAAGACCTTTTGTCGCACTTGTCCATTATAAAACTCGCTCCTTCGTCGCTCGTTTTATAAATTGTCCGCGTGCGACAAAATGACGTCTTATGACATTAGTTCTTTAATATACTATTATATAATATTTTTGATGAGTGACAGCTGTTTATAAATGGCGGAATGGCGGGGTTGCTACATCGTCATTACTATATTATGATACAAGGCGAACCATTGCAATGCATTGGGATAAATTATCTATTGGTGTGGTCTAGGTGCGTTAGTACTGAATAAATTACAGAACGGTCCTTTTTCGCTACTGACAGTAAAATTACTGATAGTTATGGCAGTAAATTACGAAACACAACCTATATCATTTTTTAAATTAGTAGCTTTAGTACATTGAATTTTACGGCGACGAAAAGTATACTTTTATTTTTATAAAAATAATATGCTAATAACGTTACAGATATGGTTTAACTCACCTTTGTACCATGTCTTCACTGGATTCATGATGATATGCCAAATGACTAATTGTACGCGTATTACCATAAATGTTTGACGCTAAATTTCTAAAAAAGCCACGGGCAATTAATTTTATAAAAGCCATCAATACCTTAATTTAAATATTTATTGTGATTTATATTTGCTTCTATTGCCAAAACAGACATTTATTGACATACATGTATAATAAATATTATGTAGTTATAACAACCGATATCTTCTTTCATTGCCGTACCTAAGATTATATCCTTATATTCTTCTTAGCTCTACCAGAATGGTATGCAATGATTGCGATGCATCATTTATGGATTTATTTTTAAAAATTTGTTTTTATTTTACACTGGTAAATGTACTTTGTCCTGGTAACTCACAGGGACAGGTGTTTCTACGGCTAGCCTTGCAAAACACCTACAAATGGCTATAGCCTACCTATAGGTAGGGAACATACTATTAATCCGTAGCAAAAGACTTTAACATCCGTTGCTATCGCTGATGCAGCAAATACATCTACAATTTGCTTCATGTCAAAATAAAATAATTTTAAATGTTAAAATTTTAATTTAACATACTATAATAATTGCGGACATATTAGGAAAAAAATAATGTACCTAAATGTAACTTTACCACCTAGGTCTACAATATATATGAGGGGTATACAAGCAAAACCAGCAATCTCCACTTTGTAAAATTTTTAAGGACACAATTTTTTAATACAACATTAACATTTTATTCCTTGTTTACGTTTTCTTGTAATTTATTGTTCTTTTGACATATAAATAATAATAAAAAAACTTATTATTTTATTAATAGTAAGTAATTAGCAATTTAAGTTTGGAGATTACCAGTTTTGCTTCAAACATTTGAACATTGCCGCCTTTTCTACAAACAAAATGAATGTACAAATTTGAAAAGAGAATACACCTTTTTTGGTCATTTTTTTAATTAAATTTTCTTTTATTTTCCTTAGTTTTATTATGACCTAAAATTAAAAAAAACGATTGTGATTTAATTAATTTTAGTCGTAAACGATTAAAACTTGGAATTTGTGTTAGATAAAATTTATTTTTTTTCATAGCAAAAAAGTTCTTTGTGGTAGTTTATAAAATTAAAAAGTTTTTGTCACATAGGTCCCTAGTGTAATTATTTGATGACATGTATCTGCAGATAGGTCCAAATTTAGGGCATTTTAATTGCACATTGGCCTCAAATTATGTTACTTTGGCCCTTACTTAAAATTTAGTTGCATTAAGGCTTTTTTTCTACATCATGATCTTTGTTTAAAAAGTAAATAAGAATTAACTTTAAGAAAGTTATTAAAATATTTTTTTTAAATTTGCCGAAAATATGGATATTTTATAACATTAAAACACCTACATAATACAAAAACATTAGCTTTTATTAGAATAAACTATTAATCAACCAAACATACCTACCTCATAATAATCAAAAATACTACTAGGGTGAATCTCACGAAATGAGTTTGACCTACACTTTTATTGTGTTTTGATCTTTCATAATTAAGTAGATATTACAGCTGAGGTTTTTAACCAGAATTAATTATTTTTTACAATGTTTTAAAAGTCTAAAACCTATCCTCCTTGACTGTTACTCTTCTAGGTTAACCTATATGTTTTCAAATATTTGAGGTAATAAAAGCATACTAAAAATATCAGTTCAATTAAACACATCCAAAGCAATCGAATCAAATATAAAATATTATTAAAAATTAAAAGAAATAATTTTTATAGGCATTTATGTGTGTTACAAAAATTGATTCTATCCTCTGTGAATCTGTTTTTGATTTAAATTTTATGCAACGGATGGCAAATAATAAATAAGCAAAAACCTCTGTTTACGACATTATAGATGCATGTGATTCCTGAAGGTCAGTTAGAATTGATATGCAGATGAGAGTGTTGCTGTTTTATAATTCAAAAGTTTAAGTTCATTAATTTGCTATTTAAAAACATACCCACCGTGAAGTGTAATATCTCACTAAGTAGATTTTTTGTATAAATATTGTATGTATGTACAATTGTATTTAAAAAAAATATTAAGGTGTCAAAAGATACAATAACTAACCTCTGTGAAGCTATCTTCCGTGAAGCTCTAATATTCAAAATGTATTATTTCTAAAATTCTTGCATTAGTGCAGAACCACTTATGTTATGTTATTACTAGACCTGGTGGCTTCCCAAAAACCCCATTCTAGACTAACAGTGAAACAACCAAAAATAAAAAATATTTATTTTTACTTAGGGGACATCTTAATATATTCACCCACTATATTATTCATCAAAAACTAATTCTGCAGGACAAACGCCATCAACATCATCTTCATTTAAATTATTATTATTATTCTCGTTATTTTTTAAATTATTATAAAACAATTACTATTTGGCTGTATAAAAGGCAACAAGCTTATGATATTGTCCAACCGGGTTTTTCTAAGTGACACTTAAGCCCATTTCCATATTAAATTTTGAATCTAAAAACGGCCTAAAATTACATAGGTCCAATATTTAAGGGCTTATAAGTCACTTGTGCTATTTTTAGTATCAAAATACGTTTACAGAAATAACTTAAGTCCACAAAATGAGGGCCTATCATGAACGTTGCTCCTTTTTCCTTAACCATAATTTCAGTTGGGCTCTTATTATATTTTTTTCCGGTTATTTTTGAAAATAATGGAATAAAACCTTTTTCATATGAAAGATCGGGTTTAGATAAGTAAGATAGCCATATAACTTAATTTCGGTAAAAATACACTTAGGCACGGCGTTCTCTAGAGAACGCCGTGACTTAGGCCCTTTTTCGACCAAGCCACAGATATACAGTCCGTATAATACAACAAAATATGTTATTTTTTTACAAATAAAGTAATAGTGCTTAACTTTTAAGTAACTTATTTTAAAGTTATAGAAAATGATTTCATTTTAACTAAATTTATTTTTTACCTAAACTAGTGTAATTTTACATATTATACTTAAATTCATATTTTAAACAGAAAATAACCAAATTTTCATAATTTACCTTCAAACACATGCTTTTTTTTAATATTGGTGTTGTCGTATTCGGATGACATAATTTTAATGCACCATATAGTATATTTTTGCTGATCAGTTTCAAATCAGACAGGGAAGAGAGTAGATGTGTGAGTTCGAGCGCTCTTAGTACCTATCCACAATAAAATTCTTAAAGAAACATAAAAATTACTCATATACAGTGTAGTCGAGTAAAGTGCGGTGCGAAACAGTGCTACTAGTTTGGTTTACTACATATCTGTACAGGCAATCTCTCAACGGGTTAACATAGGGGTGAGGTCCGTGCGAACACGGAAGTAATAAAGTGACAGGGGACAGGTCAAGGAATCACCTATTTAAAGAAAAAACGAGTCTAACCAAGAGTGGAAGGGATCATCATCTGCAGAATCTGGTAAGTATCAATGTATGACCTAATACGCAAATATGTAACAAAAACCTGGCAATAATTAATCATTTTCGATAACCGCGTATGAGTGTAAGAAAACCAAGTAAGAACGTCACAATATTATATTATTATTATATAATATAATTATAAACTTACAGGCCAGCCCCATAAAATTAAAGCTTTTAAAAGATAACGAGCACGTAAAAGACTTACCTAAACAAACCATATCTATTCAAGTAATATCGTTACACGCCTGCCATTATTCCAAATTTTAATACGTTACACCACAGGGCCGGCTTTATACTATGTATATTATTAATTACATATAATACAAACTTGGTACAAAATAAAATGTTTGCTAACATTTAATTAAAGGTTAATGAAAAATGGTATAGTACATTAATTTAACAATAAACAAACTGCGAGACCTTCTCGAGTATAAAAAAACAAATGGTAGAAGCAGTAAATTAAAAAAAATACAATTTCTTAATTGTTAAATTAGAAAACAATATGTAAACACAATTTCTACCACAACAAGAAAACAACGAATAGTCGTTTTCAATAAATAGCTATTCAACTTAATTAGATAAATTAGAAAATTATAATAAATCACCAGCGATTGTTTAGATTAAAATAAACAAAAGTCTAAAAAGTAAAAGAGCACGTAATAAGACAACCACAGAAAATAAGAGGGGCGACCCTATCAATTAAACTGACAAGCCTGACAGTAGAGTCGTATTCCAATTACGTTCACTACAGGGCCGGCTTTATCCATTTGTGTATTAATGTTTGTAAATTAACTTAAATTAAACTGATAAATAAAGTAAGAATGCAAAGAACTAAATATAAATGGTAAGCGGTTGATACAATGATAACAATAAAATAAACAAAGAAGATACATAGTCGGTAGTCGGTGCTCGGCAGGAGTGAATATCCACGAAGGCAGAGGGCACTTACGGCGGGTCGCGGCCGTCAACACGGTACTGAAGACAGGATTCAGTATCTCACGGGGGGCAAGCAATTCTAAAGCGGTTACCAGGAACCGGAAACCGACTCGGACAGAGACGTTCAGAAGGACACCAACAAGGACAGGTTCTAGCAGCTTATTATCACTTCTACCCCCATTCATGAATCCCAATTGAATGGGGTTATTACTAAAGCCCTTGTCCCGCTCTTCACTAAACCTAAACCGGCGACAAAAATCCGGGAGTGGCCTTAACCATCGAAAATGTCATCCACGACCTCCTAGTAAAAATGCGGATCCAACAAACACAGGTAATGCTGTGCGTAGAAGAACGGAAAGGTGGTAAAATAACCCCTGGGAAATTAGTGTAAGGTGATATCAATGGGACCTGCCATACGTTCCCATACTCATACTCATATTATAATATTTTTACAAGATATATTCGTCAGTTATTTTCAAATCATAAAAATCCACGGTAGGTCCAGTCTATATTGACCGGATTAGCACCACGTTTTTTATGACAGATTTCGAAAATATATATTAAAATAAGCTCAAACACCCGTTTATAGCAAAATTTGTCGCTTATTATTGATAATACATACATTACAATTATTTTTTATTTATTATTTCTTAACATTTGCAAATATACCTACCTTTAAAATAAAATGTTCATGAGGGAGAACACAGTAAATAGTGGAATATTATATTATATAAACATTTATTTTAAGGGAACATTCACAAGTATGAATAGTAACTTGTTATTGCTATTACATAAAGAA